CTCCATCCTCAAGGAAAAAGAACATAAATTCCAACTCTGTAAGTGTGGGCTACACTTAGTGACTTCCTTCCTGAAAGTACAGTATGGAAGTAGTTATTTTTTTAAAAAAGACACAATGAAGACATATGACAAACACTAGTTCAGACAAATAACCAAGGTTGACATACATGGTGGATAAATCATGTCGATAGTGTATATCCTCTTTATAAGGTGAGAAAGGCACTTCAAAATTGATGATTTCCTAAAAGCACATAATCTGATCATGAGAATAGTATCAGATAAATTCTAATAGAAGGGCTTACTATAAAATACATAAATAATATTCTGTGATACTGTCAAGATCATTAGCAACAAAAGAAAGCATCCAAAATTTACAGCCAAGAGAAGTTTAAGGAGACATGCAGTTGATATACTAGATGGGATTTAGGAATAAAAATAAAGGAAATTAAGTAAAAATTAAGAAATTTGAGTAAAATATGGACTTCATTTAATTATAATGTACTTTATTAATTATAATGTAATATCAGTTCAATTGTAACAAATATACCATAATGCAAGATGATAAAGAAAACTGGGTGTGGGGTCTATGGTAACTCTCAATACTATATATTCCAATTTCTTTAACTCCAAATCTTCTAAGAATAAACTGCATAAATTGCATTCCAATCCAAAATTAAACACCTGAATCTTATTAGTGCTCAGATGATTATAAGACATCGGATATCCTATATGATGACACAAGGAAAGTGGAAGACAAAAAGTAATTCGTTATCATTGGAATTATTCACATTAGACTTAATTTATTCTTTTTAAAGAAATCCATGCACTGAGTACTACTAATTAGAGGCTAACAACTTAACTTAAATATGTTTTTAAAAAGCTTCCCATTCGGAAACAAAGAAAAATCTTCACTGACTGAACCACAAACAAGGCTTAATGATTTTTAAGTAACACGTCATCTACTGATGAATTAATTTTGTATCCTTAAAAACTGAAATTGTTAAATAGGAATTAGATCTTAACTGTCTTGAATGGAAATTTACAGCTCTAAACTTCAGCAGACAATGACTTCAGAAATCACAGACTCTCACCAACAACAAGTGCTTCTGGGTGACATTTTCTTGTCTGATATAAAATACAATAATAAGAAATCAAGATATATATTCAGAGTGGAAAATCTTGGCCACCCGATCTCGAATCTGTTTGGTCTTCACACCGTACACAACAGGATTGAGCAAAGGGGGGACAAGCAGGTAAAGGTTGGACAGAAGAATGTGAATGTAGGGTGGAATGTGGAATCCAAACCTGTGTGTAAAGAAGGAGAAGAAAGCCAGGAGATAAAACTCAAGGAAGACACAAATATGGGCGATGCAGGTGTTAAAAGCTTTGAGTCGCGCTTCCTTTTGGGGCAGGTTGAAGACAATTACAAATATCCGGATGTAGGAGAGTGTGATGAAGGTGATGTCAAGTCCGAGGATACTGAAAGCCACGAACAGACCATAGGTCTTGTTGATTCGAATATCTTCTGCCGCCAGCTTCACGATGGCCATGTGCTCACAGTATGAGTGGGAGACCACAGTGGTCCAGTAATATCTCAGCCGGCATTTGATGAGGATGAGACATGGAGCTACCAGGAGGGCTGCTCTGAGTGTCACTCCAACCCCGATCTGACTGAGAAGCCGGTGGGTAAACACGGTTGCATGTCTCAGAGGATCACAGATGGCCACATAGCGGTCCAGGGCCATGGCCAGTAGGATACCAGACTCAGTTGACTGGAACGTGTGGATGAGCCACATCTGCAAGAGACAGACATCAAAGTGTATGTCTGGTAAATGGAACCAGAATATTCCTAACATTTTTGGTAGGATACAGGTGCTGAGAGCAATGTCTGTTACTCCAAGCATTGCCAGCAAGAGGTACATGGGCTCATGGAGGCTGCGCTCAGATTTGATGGTGAGCAGGAGCAGGGAATTGCCAAACAGAGCAATGATGTACATGGCACAGAAGGGAATCCCAATCCAGAACTGCACAGACTCCAAGCCAGGGATTCCAATCAGCGTCAGCATCGAGGGCATGAAGACTGTGCCGTTGAGCTTGAACATGTTTGCTCAGAGCTGCCTGCTTTAGAGCTTCTGATTCAAGATGGCAGTTTGTGTTGAGTGTCTGTCTTCTGTTTTCTGTTCTCGCCTAGATTCATACAATCAGAGATTGAATGTGGTTTCAAATGGCACTTTGTCAGATATAGCAATTTATTTCTGGGGCAATTACGTGTTTCCGGGAATACAGATATGGACTCCTAAATGATTTATTTAGGATTCCACTGTCTTCTGTTCTTTTTCCCCCAACACTTCCCTGTGTTCCCCTCCATGCCTTCTGTGTCTCTGTCTCTCTGTCACACACACACATACACACACACACTTGAATACTATCTGCACACCCACTCAACACCAACCGCATGTGCACACTCACTATTGAAAGAAGATACATTTCTAATGATGTGAAGGCACATGGCGGTGTACTGTCTGTTAAAAAATATTCCGTTGAATATCAGTTTGGTTTTCTTTGTTAATATGATAAAGATATTTAATTAGTATATTACCTATACATCTTTTTATGGAATCCTTACCCAAGAAGCATTTAGCCAAGCAGTTAGATGGAAAGAAATGAAAAAATATCCACTATTCTAGTGCTATAGTAAGCATTGGGTAGTAAGAACTTATAAAGTCAGATCCTTAATGTCAAAGAGAAAATGATTTACTGGATGATGCATATTACCAGTGTCATGTGCATAAGAAAATGATGTGACACTGTTTTAGACCTTACATTCATTCTAGAAGTGGATGCTTGAGAATTGTTCCCTCCAAAACTTGTACAAAATTAGGTATTTTAGGGATAGAAAATAAGTGATAATAAAAATTGCTTATGAAAATTTAGATCTGCAAATTTTGATATGGAAAAAATTTCCTTAATAAAATAATGCCCAAATAGTAACAGTTGGTATACATTTTATATCTTTAAGAAAAACTTTTCATTAAATAAACAATATCTTCATTTGATAATATGTGCAGGAAAAATTGGTCTTAATTACTATTTTGTAAAATACATCAGAAATTATGAACATGAGGAATAAAATTACTTCAAATACATACAGTATTGAGTAGGTAATTATGTTTGTTCAGTGGGATTCGATTTAGGATATGGCATCTTGATAAATGTAACAGTTTTCATATATTTCCTGTTAATATAATTGCCATTTACAACATAGACTCTAATTATTCTTTGCTCAATAGGATGGGATAAACTATCTCAAAATTATCACTTTTGCCAATCATGCAGAATCGTAAATAATAAGGTTTTCCTGGACAAGGTGATACATCAATATGTTTACATAATGAAGTAGAATAAATTTATTTGGAATTTTACCTTTAATGAAAGTGTGGTGATTTTCCACATCCACACCCGTAATGCATATCTCTCCTACTTTATGTTTCCTTTAACTACCATTTCCTATTTATGCTACCCTTGGATAGTATCCTCATGGCTGTTCATTCTGATAGGAAATGTTAACACATGTTCCAATTTATACATTTGCTTGCACCTATTATATTCCCTAACACAATGAGGAGTAAGTCAAAAAGGAACAGAAGCCAATTGAAAGGGCGCCAATGCTAAAATTGGAAAACTTGAGCAATGAAATAAAGTAACATTGGATTATTACCCAAATTATAATGAAACTATCCATAGGTCCATACAGATATTAACAAATGATTGAATGAATTAATAAGTAGGGTTAATAAATCAACCTTCCACACATAAGAATTCCAAATAATCTATTAAATTATGCAGCTACTCCATCCTCAAGGAAAAAGAACATAAATTCCAACTCTGTAAGTGTGGGCTACACTTAGTGACTTCCTTCCTGAAAGTACAGTATGGAAGTAGTTATTTTTTTAAAAAAGACACAATGAAGACATATGACAAACACTAGTTCAGACAAATAACCAAGGTTGACATACATGGTGGATAAATCATGTCGATAGTGTATATCCTCTTTATAAGGTGAGAAAGGCACTTCAAAATTGATGATTTCCTAAAAGCACATAATCTGATCATGAGAATAGTATCAGATAAATTCTAATAGAAGGGCTTACTATAAAATACATAAATAATATTCTGTGATACTGTCAAGATCATTAGCAACAAAAGAAAGCATCCAAAATTTACAGCCAAGAGAAGTTTAAGGAGACATGCAGTTGATATACTAGATGGGATTTAGGAATAAAAATAAAGGAAATTAAGTAAAAATTAAGAAATTTGAGTAAAATATGGACTTCATTTAATTATAATGTACTTTATTAATTATAATGTAATATCAGTTCAATTGTAACAAATATACCATAATGCAAGATGATAAAGAAAACTGGGTGTGGGGTCTATGGTAACTCTCAATACTATATATTCCAATTTCTTTAACTCCAAATCTTCTAAGAATAAACTGCATAAATTGCATTCCAATCCAAAATTAAACACCTGAATCTTATTAGTGCTCAGATGATTATAAGACATCGGATATCCTATATGATGACACAAGGAAAGTGGAAGACAAAAAGTAATTCGTTATCATTGGAATTATTCACATTAGACTTAATTTATTCTTTTTAAAGAAATCCATGCACTGAGTACTACTAATTAGAGGCTAACAACTTAACTTAAATATGTTTTTAAAAAGCTTCCCATTCGGAAACAAAGAAAAATCTTCACTGACTGAACCACAAACAAGGCTTAATGATTTTTAAGTAACACGTCATCTACTGATGAATTAATTTTGTATCCTTAAAAACTGAAATTGTTAAATAGGAATTAGATCTTAACTGTCTTGAATGGAAATTTACAGCTCTAAACTTCAGCAGACAATGACTTCAGAAATCACAGACTCTCACCAACAACAAGTGCTTCTGGGTGACATTTTCTTGTCTGATATAAAATACAATAATAAGAAATCAAGATATATATTCAGAGTGGAAAATCTTGGCCACCCGATCTCGAATCTGTTTGGTCTTCACACCGTACACAACAGGATTGAGCAAAGGGGGGACAAGCAGGTAAAGGTTGGACAGAAGAATGTGAATGTAGGGTGGAATGTGGAATCCAAACCTGTGTGTAAAGAAGGAGAAGAAAGCCAGGAGATAAAACTCAAGGAAGACACAAATATGGGCGATGCAGGTGTTAAAAGCTTTGAGTCGCGCTTCCTTTTGGGGCAGGTTGAAGACAATTACAAATATCCGGATGTAGGAGAGTGTGACGAAGGTGATGTCAAGTCCGAGGATACTGAAAGCCACGAACAGACCATAGGTCTTGTTGATTCGAATATCTTCTGCTGCCAGCTTCACGATGGCCATGTGCTCACAGTATGAGTGGGAGACCACAGTGGTCCAGTAATATCTCAGCCGGCATTTGATGAGGATGAGACATGGAGCTACCAGGAGGGCTGCTCTGAGTGTCACTCCAACCCCGATCTGACTGAGAAGCCGGTGGGTAAACACGGTTGCATGTCTCAGAGGATCACAGATGGCCACATAGCGGTCCAGGGCCATGGCCAGTAGGATACCAGACTCAGTTGACTGGAACGTGTGGATGAGCCACATCTGCAAGAGACAGACATCAAAGTGTATGTCTGGTAAATGGAACCAGAATATTCCTAACATTTTTGGTAGGATACAGGTGCTGAGAGCAATGTCTGTTACTCCAAGCATTGCCAGCAAGAGGTACATGGGCTCATGGAGGCTGCGCTCAGATTTGATGGTGAGCAGGAGCAGGGAATTGCCAAACAGAGCAATGATGTACATGGCACAGAAGGGAATCCCAATCCAGAACTGCACAGACTCCAAGCCAGGGATTCCAATCAGCGTCAGCATCGAGGGCATGAAGACTGTGCCGTTGAGCTTGAACATGTTTGCTCAGAGCTGCCTGCTTTAGAGCTTCTGATTCAAGATGGCAGTTTGTGTTGAGTGTCTGTCTTCTGTTTTCTGTTCTCGCCTAGATTCATACAATCAGAGATTGAATGTGGTTTCAAATGGCACTTTGTCAGATATAGCAATTTATTTCTGGGGCAATTACGTGTTTCCGGGAATACAGATATGGACTCCTAAATGATTTATTTAGGATTCCACTGTCTTCTGTTCTTTTTCCCCCAACACTTCCCTGTGTTCCCCTCCATGCCTTCTGTGTCTCTGTCTCTCTGTCACACACACACATACACACACACACTTGAATACTATCTGCACACCCACTCAACACCAACCGCATGTGCACACTCACTATTGAAAGAAGATACATTTCTAATGATGTGAAGGCACATGGCGGTGTACTGTCTGTTAAAAAATATTCCGTTGAATATCAGTTTGGTTTTCTTTGTTAATATGATAAAGATATTTAATTAGTATATTACCTATACATCTTTTTATGGAATCCTTACCCAAGAAGCATTTAGCCAAGCAGTTAGATGGAAAGAAATGAAAAAATATCCACTATTCTAGTGCTATAGTAAGCATTGGGTAGTAAGAACTTATAAAGTCAGATCCTTAATGTCAAAGAGAAAATGATTTACTGGATGATGCATATTACCAGTGTCATGTGCATAAGAAAATGATGTGACACTGTTTTAGACCTTACATTCATTCTAGAAGTGGATGCTTGAGAATTGTTCCCTCCAAAACTTGTACAAAATTAGGTATTTTAGGGATAGAAAATAAGTGATAATAAAAATTGCTTATGAAAATTTAGATCTGCAAATTTTGATATGGAAAAAATTTCCTTAATAAAATAATGCCCAAATAGTAACAGTTGGTATACATTTTATATCTTTAAGAAAAACTTTTCATTAAATAAACAATATCTTCATTTGATAATATGGCAGGAAAAATTGGTCTTAATTACTATTTTGTAAAATACATCAGAAATTATGAACATGAGGAATAAAATTACTTCAAATACATACAGTATTGAGTAGGTAATTATGTTTGTTCAGTGGGATTCGATTTAGGATATGGCATCTTGATAAATGTAACAGTTTTCATATATTTCCTGTTAATATAATTGCCATTTACAACATAGAGTCTAATTATTCTTTGCTCAATAGGATGGGATAAACTATCTCAAAATTATCACTTTTGCCAATCATGCAGAATCGTAAATAATAAGGTTTTCCTGGACAAGGTGATACATCAATATGTTTACATAATGAAGTAGAATAAATTTATTTGGAATTTTACCTTTAATGAAAGTGTGGTGATTTTCCACATCCACACCCCTAATGCATATCTCTCCTACTTTATGTTTCCTTTAACTACCGTTTCCTATTTATGCTACCCTTGGATAGTATCCTCATGGCTGTTCATTCTGATAGGAAATGTTAACACATGTTCCAATTTATACATTTGCTTGCACCTATTATATTCCCTTGAACTTGAAGGTTATTTTTTTCTTTCACATTGAAACTGATAACTCCTTTAATATAGAATATAGTTCCCATGACCTTCAATTCCTTTTCAGCATCTTTTTCCACTTCAGGATCTATGTTGATGGCCCATCCAACAAGTTCTGTCAGATTCTTTCTTTCTTGACAAATGTGTGAAGTTAGCCTGATGAATGAGATTCCTGGTCTCAAAGTTATCTTTCATCTAAATTTTCAAATTAAGGAGGCAAAACTATTAAAGAGCACAACATTTTGTAGCTTGGATGCAGAAATAGCAAGGGTTTAAGAGAAAGTTATCATTCCTCAGGCTGAATTTTACTTTTGATTAATGTTTGGTGAATGAATTCACTGTTGTATGGTGTGGCTGGGGTAACAAAATCCATTTCATAAAGGTGAAAATGTTAACAAGTTGATTTGGCTTTCTATTTAATTAGTCTTTTTCCATCCAATGTTACCAACAATGCAACCAATTTATACCAGTGGGTTTAGGATTATTTTAGGGAGTATTTTTATATCTATTTTTGCATATGACAGCAAAATACCAAATTTCTGTAGGAAAAAAGAAAACTGTTTTCCCACTCCCTCAGAGTCTCTATTCAGTGGAAATCTCCATTCGGTGGCTGACTCATGTAGATTCAGCTTCTGAATAACTCTGTTCCCCGTGTCATCTCCGTGGTTACTCCTCCATTCTGTCTTGCTCACCTATATTGCTAGATTTTTTCAGAAATGATCACACCTTTCAATAATAACCCCCAACTTTTTAATGGAATCCAAAAAATTTGTAGGTTTAATATCTTATACTTTCCAGCATGAAGGCCCTATGAAGTAACTTGGAACCTGTACCCTGTCCACATGGACAACTTTACAGTGAAGCGCTTAAAATTATGGATTCTACAAACTGTATCTCAGTTCCAGCATTTACTTGATGCGTATCCTCTGCCAAGTTATTACAAGTTTTCTGGGCCTCATGTACCTCAGCTAATCAGTGGGGATAACAACCATTCTTCCTCATATGGAAAAGTGGGTTACTTGAAATATAATCACTTGAACAAAAATGCTTGAAAACATTCTTTGAAAATAATATGCTTACAGGTATGTTTCCCATATAAAGAGCATGACATAACTGTATTTTGTTAATATTCCTGTTGTTATTCAGTTCAACTTCCCTTACAAACCTACAGTCATTAAGAAATTTATTTTGGAATCCCAAAAAAAAATTTTAAATGCTCCAACATCTATTTCATTCTTTCCTGTCATTATATCTTGCTTTTTAAAGATTTTCTCCTGTCCCTGAGACTTTCCCATTTAATGAATATCTGTTTACTATTCAGCTTTCAGCTGTAGCCTCACCTCCTTTCTTGATGTCCTTAAGTAGAAGTCCATATTCCCCCTTTGTGTCATCAATGAAAAAGAGGAATTGTTTAATGAATGCAACCCACTGAAAAATCAATGAAACAATTAGCTTCATTTTTCCTGAATTAATTAAATATCAGAAGATATATAAATTTTAATGCAAATGCAAATCCTTTTGCCCTGTTCCCAGGTGTATGCCTCTAAACAGATTAGGAAAACTGGAGAATTAATCTAGGAAAATCCTAAGAATCTCTGTATCTTGATGTATAAGCTTCATCTGTTTTCATTACATGTTTACTTTCCCATGTTGACCTGAGTCAGGATAGAAACCTATCTTAGTTGAAGATTTGAAGAATTTTACTAATGCTGAGCAAAGGAAAGGGAAAATACCCACGAGACCAAGAGGAAATCAGTAGTTTTTTAATACTCCTTTTATCCTAGTCAAATCCTAAATAAATATTAATATCCTTCAAAATGTCTACTCAGAACTGACACTTTTGCAGAGCTAACCCCTTATATACAATGGCAGTTTCAGTTCCCTACACTTCCCTTGGATCATCTCTAAATATTTCTCCCTAGACCTTGCAGACACCGCTGAGAATACATATTCACAAACTCAATACTCTAACCTTATGTGTGGGCACCAACTTGTGCATCTGTAGCATTCTGTGTGGATAATGAAGCCCATTCCTAGAGGTAAATGTAGAGCAAACAAAGCACCAGCCTGTGGGCAAGGGTTATGATGCAATTCTCCTGAGGAATGGACCAATGACAAAAATCATCTCTACAGGCCACACAATTCATCTAGTTCCCCTGTCTTATTATTACTGCTTTGTGTGGGGAAAGAATATAAATAAGAAACACTGCAAGGTTACTTTCCTGATTTGTAGTGACTCCAGTTCTGTCCATAAAGTTTAGGGAGTAGGTTTCAGCCTTTGCCTGTCCTTCATTAGTTATAAATGAGAGGTCAGGAAATGTCATCGTAAACCAAAGAATATTTATTTTGGTTTTCAATGACTACTAAAATCAAATTTATCAAAACCAGGAAGGGGTCAGGAATTGAAAGCAGGTACTGGAGTAGATATTGAATGTCAATTTTTATTGCAGCATTATTCACAACACTTAACAGGTGGACACAGGCCAAGTATAGGGCCCTCCAAAACACCAGCTGGTCTGGGGCACTTGTTTGAGGACTGCCCATAGCACACCATGACAAAGAGGTAAACGGGCGGCTGCTGTTGTGGGGGTCTGGCCTCTCCTGTGGGCAGTTTGGCTGCCCACCTGTCCAGCCAGAGGCTGGACCCTGAGTTAGAAAGCTGGGAGAAGAGCAGAGATTAAAAAAGGACATGAAGTTTTTCACTACTCTGCTATCCTTGGGGCTGGAAAAAAAGGGGAAGAGCAGGACACATTGGAGACTTTGGTGTGCCATTTTGCAAAGCCAGGAGGACACAAACTGCTGCAAAGTAAAATCTGAGTGCTTGTGACAAAGCCTGATTGAGACATTAAGAAGTTGAGTCCCCTTGAAAGAGAGGAGTGAAAATGAGGATGTTGTGATGGGCCGGGTAGCAGATCAAGTGCCCCATGTCATCCCACGCCTGATAAAAAGGGAAATGTAAAACAGCAATTACTCTAGACTTCTGATAATAAGTCAACTGGGATATTCTAAACCGATGAGCCATATGACTTGAACAAGGGGAAGCTGAAGGGTGGATGATGATGAGGAAGCCCTTGTGGCGTCTGAATATGTAGAAAGATATATGGGTTCACCTACAAGAGGCTGAAAGCAGTACTCACTGCTTTTCATGTCCCAGCTTACAAGGTGCTGACAATCCCTGGCAATCAGGAAGCTGATGCCCTACCCTGGGTACAAAACCTAACAGCTGACCCCTCAGCAGATGCAGTAGATTGGGTACATAGGAAGAGCGGCCACCACCACACGCAGATGGAACGGCATATTGCCAAGGATGGCAGATTTCCCTTGAAACCCAGTGACTTGGTTGATGCAGTAAGAGTGTGTCCTGTGTGTTCTAAACAATGTTCATGGTGCTGCCAAAGCAATCTGAGGCCATACCCTGGAGTTTCCAGCTGGGGAAGGATTAACAGATTGATTATATTGGCCTCCTC